TGTCAGTAGTGTTTAAACCTTGCCACTAATAAGCATAATATTTTTCAATTTTTACTGATAGTAATAGAGTGATAGTTTATGGGAATTTTACCTATAAAATATTAATAATAATAATAAATTATAATATACGTTGCTTATCTTGTAATGAAAGAAACACGGCTGTACTGGTAATCAACGCGTCAAAATGAAACGCCGCCCATTTGAAGGCATGCAACTGAAACGTGCTTAATATGACGGTGATCTTGTTCATCTTGGAATTATCCGTTAGTTGATTAGTTATTAGGAGGAATTAATCAAACAGCTAAGTATAAATTTTATGGAACTCACCTGTCATTCGGTTCATTCCGGTGGGGGCGGGAAGTTAATAATTTGCATACGTAACCAACTTCATAGTTGACAGGCCGGTAGATTCTGAATATTCTTTTCAGAATGTGCACCATAATATGCTTGTCGAAATTACAGTCGTTAGTAATAAAATGTTCTGCAAGCCACATTGATGTCACATTATTGTACATGACATCATACCTGTGTCCATTGAATCTTTCATTTCATTTTTTCTGGATAACGGAACTTGTAGAACCTTTTATTACAAATGACTACTATTCATGTTGAAAAATATTGGAAGAGTTACGACAATTATTTTGTTTGTTAATAGCGTGGATTGATTATCGTAAAGCCTTTGATAGTGTTCCACATTCTTGGATCCTTAAGACTTTGGAAATGTACAAAGTCTCCCCTGTGGTATTAAATTTCCTAAAGCACAGCATGGGAATGTGGAACACCAAACTATACCTTAGTCACACCGGGGGCACTGCCATATCCAACCGTCTGAGTATCCGACGTGGAATCTTTCAAGGACATTCTCTGTCACCCCTTCTGTTTTGTTTATCCTTAATCCCTCTTACACATGAACTGAACAACACTAGCTATGGTTACAAAATAAATAAGAAAATATTCAATCACCTACTCTACATGGATGATCTCAAACTCTTTGCCAAAGACGACAATGAGTTGAAAGGCCTCCTCAATATTGTAAAATACTTCAGTGACGACATAGGTATGGACTTCGGATTAGATAAATGTGCAAAAGTAACTTTCAAGAAAGGTAGAATTACAGAAACACCCTTAATAGATTTAGATTTTGTCACAAAGATTAGGGAACTGGAGCATGGTGAAGCTTATAAGTACCTAGGAATTAGCGAAGGAGATGGCATACAACACCCCCAAATGAAGGAAAAAATAAGAAAAGAATACTACAGGCGTGTACATCTGGTACTAAATACTGAGCTGAACTCAAAAACAGGATATCAGCCATAAACACATTGGCTGTCCCTGTGGTGCAATACAGCTTTAATGTCCTTAACTGGACCATAGCTGAAATTAAGCGACTGGATGTCAAAACGAGAAAGCTACTCACTTGCTATCGCATGCATCATCCCAAAGCTGATGTCGACCGTCTGTATGTGCCCAGATCCGAAGGAGGCAGAGGATTAGTTCAACTAGAACTGTCCTAAAAAAACTACAACAATTGGCCTCCAAAGATATTTGGAAACTACAGAAGACTGGATGATGGTGTGCGTCAAGGACATGACAGAGTGGGCCAATATCTGCACTGGAAAATCTGCAACTTCTACGGGAAGAAAACTGAAAGAAACTGGTATGAACACCACCCAGACCCGGTTACGGAGATAGGACCTGTTACAATTCTATGGGACTACACAATACACACTGACAGAACAATGAAGGCCAACCGCCCAGATATTGTTATTAAAGACCACAAACAAAAAAGGTGCCTCCTTATTGATATGGCAGTCCCTGCCGACTGCAATGTATCTTTGAAGATATTCAAAAAGTTGTCAAAGTACAAGGACCTTGAAATAGAAATCGCGAAAATGTGGCATATGAGAACATCAACAATCCCTGTTGTAGTTGGAGCCCTAGTATTATTTTTATTGTTTTATTCTTGCTGAACTGGACCAATGCTTGTTAACTAGAAATTTCCAAATATACATACAGAAAAATTATGTTATCCCAAATTGCAGATTCTGTGATAAATATCCAGAAAGTACTGACCATCTTGTATCAGCTTGCAGGTATTGGCACCGACTGAATATAAAACCCGGCATAAGTGCCGATAACTGCATTGCAAAATATGCAACTTTTACGGAAAGGAAACTGTAAGAAATTGATATGAACACCACCCAAACCCGGTTACGGAGATAGAACCGGTATCAAATTTATGGGACTTCACAATACACACCGACAGAACAATCAAAACTAATCGCCCAGACATGGTTATTAGAGACCACAAAGACAAAATATGCCTTCTTATTAACATGGCAGACCTAGCAAACTGCAAGGTATCTTTGTAGATATATGAGCAAACCAATAATTCCAGTAGCAGTTGAAGCCCTCGGACTGATTGGAAAAGGGTACAGATAGACTCATTGAAAGGATTCCTGGTAGCGGATACCTTAAAGAAATACCAAAAAAAATTACTCACAAGTACAGCCCACACATTACGAAGGGCTTTATCTATGTCAAATGGGTGTGAGCTTAGGGTTTGTTTTCCGCCTGAAAAAATACTCAGTGGAAAATGTCATGATGCAATTTCTGACCTAAGATCTCTGCCTTGGGCCCGGAAAGAAGTGAATATATACCATGAATCAAAGGAAAATAATAATAATAATAATAATAATAATAATAATAATAATAATAACGCAGAAACAATTGATCATCTTGTATCAGGCTGTACGGTATTGGCACCCACTGAATATAAAACCCGGCATGACAGAGTTGGCCAATATCTGCACTGGAAAATCTGCAACTTCTACAGGAAGGAAACTGAAAGAAATTGGTATGAACACCACCCAGAACCGGTTACGGAGATAAAACTTCTTACAATTCTATGGGACTACACAATACACACTGACAGAACAATAAAAACTAACCACCGAGAAATTGTTATTAGAGAGGCAAACAAAAAATATTGATATAACAATCCCTGCAGATTGCAATGTATCTTTAAAGATCTTCAAAAATCTATCAAAATACAAGGACCTTGAAATCGAAATCTCAAAAATGTGGCACATGGGAACATCAACAATCTCTGTTGAAGTTGGAGCCCTCGGATTGTTTGGGAAAAATTCCAGTAGACTAATTGAAGATTCCTGGAAACCCATGCCTTAAAGAAATAAAAAAAATGTTCTCATAGGTACATCACACGCCTTCCGAAAGGCTTTATCTGTGTAAAATATGTTTTGTTTTTTTTAATGAAAAATGTCATGATGCTATTTCTAACCTTAGGTCTCTAGGTGGGACCCGGAAAGAAATGTGTACACACCAGAAATTAAAGGAAATAAAATAATAATATCAATTAACAATTCTTTAATCGCACAAGAAAAAGGATTTTAATCGGTGTGAAATTCAAACAGAAAATATTTTCTTTACTATATTTTTTCATGTGAAAAGGAAGATGTCTGTAGAATCTGTTCAAAATATAATGAAAGCACCCAAACAAATTATTCTAGGTTAAGAAAATTGCTCGGAAGTCACATTTTCCTTTAATAGAAGTAGGACGATTATTATTAAGTTCACTATTTAAGAAGAAAAAACAAAACAAGTATAGCAACTTAAACACGTATACCCGCTAAAAATAACGTTGAATATCAGAATATATCAAAAGTATATTTTGTCAAGAATCCCTGATAATTTCCAGAAAAATAGACGCCCAATATATATATGCCGAATATTTGTTGAAGAATAGCCGCTCAATTTTGATATAGACAGAGGTCTTCTTCAAGAATAATCATCTAAATTTAGTTATGGCATCGGAAGAATTTACTCTCAATCTCGGAATATACTTCGGGTATTTCTTGAAGAACAACCGATGTACCGAATTTAAAATCATTTAAGAATTGCCGACCGATGTCTGATTGTAGATTCTTCAAGAATCAACATTTGAATATGGATATAGTATTTCTTTATAAACAACTGAATATATTAGATTACTTTCTTCACTAACAGCCAATTTATATGAATATTAATATAACTTTTCTTTAAGACTATCCTATTAATATTTGAAAATAAAATATTGGGAATCTTTAAAAAATTGCTACATATGAACCTTGTTTTTCCAAGAATACATGATGCGAATTTGGGCAATCTAAAATGTATTCATACAGCGAATATGATAAAATGTATAAATACTGCGGATATAACAAAATGTATTCATACTGCGGACATAAAAAAACATCCTGCAAAGATTTAAGGAATTACTAATCAGATATTCACATATTTTAATGGATTTCAAAAATACATCCAGAAAATTTAAAAAAAAAATTTAAAGTCTTCGAATTCTTCGAGTATCAAAAGGGAAAAATACTCAATATTTAGAGATTAAGAATATAATGATAAATAGAAATAACTTGAAAAGTTCAGCGGTTCCAAAGACCAAAGAAGATATGGACATTTTTGGACACAGGTTTTGAACTGAGTGTGTACAGATGATAACTTAAACACGTATATTTGAAGGTAGCATACGTATTTTGCGGGTACGATCGTTGAGTTCATTGGAATGAATCGGTTACATGTTACCAGATATAGCCCACGAAAACATCGGAATCACTGACGCGTAATGAAGATGATCAAGTTTGATCCTATCCAGTGCTGTAAAATCTCTCTTTTCTCTATTTCAATATATATATATATATATATATATATATATATATATATATATATATATATATATATAGGTAGGTAGAGAGATGTCAGGTAAATTTGATGATGCACGATTATCTGTCGTCCGCCGAGTACTTTTTTGTCTCATCCGGGAGGGGGATTCGTGTGCATAAAAATACCGACGTATTCGCGTGCATTACCCTTTTCGTGCTATTTGAATTTTTTTTTTCTCTCGTTCTCAGCAATTCCATCTCTTTACGCTGATCGACATGGAAAATTTTTCCGCAGATTGCTTTTTTTATTCTTATTTTTTCAAAAACATGATACATTGCGTGCATTTAATTTATTTATACCACCGGCTTATTTTGCGTTCTTTCACGCATCTCTCTCTCTCTCTCTCTCTATCTATCTATCTATCTATCTATCTATCTATCTATCTATCTATCTATGTATATATATATATATATATATATATATATATATATATATTTCGGTCTTTACATCATGTATCTGTGTGTTTCAGTCTGTTCATCATCTATCTTCCGATCTATTTCAGTTTATCTATCTATCTATCTATCTATCTATCTATCTATCTATCTATCTATCTATCTACTCGTGATATTTACTAAGTCTTCTAGTTGGGCACAAGGCCGAATCGAGGAGAATATAGGGTTACCAGTTTTATATTACCGGTATTTCGTTCAGGAGATTCCATTTGAAAATCATTATATAAAATTCGAGATTCGCGAAGTGAACTTTTTCCCTGCTGGAAAAGATGAAAATCAGGCTGGCCTTATCTGTATCTACGTCTTTCTATTCGATATATATTCTGAATCATTTCAAAGGAAACTCACAAATATATTTGTTTCTTTTCCATATCGATAAGTATATTTGCTTATAACAAAGTCCTGGTGAAAGAAAACAGACCCACCTCTATTTTCAAACACTAGCTCATTGACCTAAACACTAAAAAGTAGCAATAAAAATAAATAAAATGAAATGCATTTTAAATTTTGCTTGACTTATTTGCTATTAGCAAATTCTAAAACTTTACTTTTAGCCATTAAATTTATCAGATCTGCCATCTTTTGCGATGTACGTTTTGGCAGCGTTAAGATCATTTCGAAAATGTTTTCTGCCAATATTCTTTATTTCAACATTGAAATTGGACAGAGATGCGATCAATAAGATTCGCGTCAACGGAATTACTGAGCCGAAAGAATCGCTTAATACCTTTTATGACCTGACATTTTTTTTTCTGCAGTATAGCGTGGGGCTGCATCGCCCATGAAAAGAAAATGCTATTTTACCCAAGTAAACGTCAGTGAATATCGGAAAACACACACACACACACACACATTCAAACAAGTGAAGAAACGATACGTATTTTTCCGAATCTATGTTCCACACACATTCCAGAAGCATTAAATAAGTAGACCTAATATATAGCTAAAATATTTGAAAGTAGGCTGAAAGATTTAATGGTGTTCAAATTCTTTGAGATCTTTCAAGTACTGACGAGCTGAAGAAGTGGCTTTCGTCTGGCTGTTCGACGTGTAAAACCACATTCTAATGAAGAAAGCGTGTTGATATTCCCGGGATTATTGGGATACACACTGCTACAATATTTATTACACTATTCCAAGATCAAATATTAATTACAACACCCTTAGATCAAATATTAATTACACCATGGCCAGATCAGATATTAATTACACCACGGCCAGATCAAATATTAATTACGTCACAGCCAGATGAAATATTAATTACGCCACGGCCAGATCAAATATTAATTACGCCACAGGCAGATGAAATATTAATTACGCCACGGCCAGATGAAATATTATTTACACCACGCCTAGATCCAATATTAATTACACCACGGCCAGATCAAATATTAAGTACGCCACGGCCAGATCAAATATTAATTACGCCACAGCCAGATCAGCTACTAATTACGCCACCGTCAGATTAAATATTTATTACACCACGGACAGATCAAATATAAGACTTGTTCGTTTTAATCTGGACACCTAGAGCATCAGTGGGTATTTTAACAAAAATAATCTCATCTTTTTACAGTTAAAATGGCTAAATCGAACCGTAATGTTAACATTTTATTCTCTTGCACTTCTCGCTGGTGGAACTTTCTTCTGGCTTCTTGCTTTCCAATTGAAACTGATCTTCAAAAATTAAATGCAATGTTAATCGTTATCTTCTGTCTTCTTAATTCTTGTTTGCTAATTGTTTCCTTTCCTTAAGAGAGTTTTTCTTTGTCTCATATTCTCAGTAACCCCTTGCATTTTAGTGACTTTCTTGCTTTGCTTCTTTTTCGCCAGCCTCAGGATGTTCTTTTTGTTGTCTCTTCTACAAGTGCAATGATAAAAGCGCTTCCCAGGGATCCCAGACATGATTAGTCGATGTTATATCTTGCCAAAAAAAATGGGACACAATTGCTCAAAGATTTCAAAGCCAGGAAAAAGCTTGGCAAAGAAAATATTTTCAGTTCCGATTTTCATTACACGATGATTATTTTAATGGCTTAGATCGATCTCAACGAGACGCAGTAGTTTCATTTCCCAGATTAACCAACTCTATGAACACTTTTCAGAATTAAAGGGTGTGAATTGCAAGGACGATTCGGTTGGCTCGTAGCTCATTTCATTATTTGAATAATCAATTATAAAAATTTCTCAAAATATTACAGTTGTGTTATTCGTATTTTTTGAAGTGATTCTAGATTTGTTTGAACACATAAACGATGAAATAAGGTCTAAAATTGGTTAAACGTGTTGAATATTTGTTGTGTATGATACACCTAATTTACATAAGTGGAGTACCGACCATATAAATATGGGTTGGTACCGGAAGACGAAGGAAGATTAAGAGATCCAATCCAGAGACTCTGCCCGACTGCTATTTAGTCAACCCATTCTACAGGAACAGTCTTCCCAAGAATATACCAAAACTAACTGTAAATATTGTGTACCTTTTCCTTGTTTCAATACATTTTGTTTACGTACATTTTGTGTTGTATTATTATTATTCCATGCTTATCCAAGTTTCAACAATATTCTAGTAACAAATAGTTCAAGCAGAACGTTTTCATATATTTCAACGTTATTTCACAGTAATTACAGAATATTTAATGAACAGAGAATATTCATTCGGAATAAAGGTAACCCTTTTTTTATAAAACCTGCTGTTTTTTTTCTAATCATTTCACCCCAAGCAAGGAAATAAAGACATTAAGACGCATAGTCTTACTGTGTGAGAGAAAAATAAAAAATAAGAAGAGAGAACAATGAAAGAACAAGAATACATAAGACAAGATAGCGATTGACATTGTATTTAAAATTTTGAAGATTAAAGTAGAGTGGAAAGCAAGGAGGCGGAAGATAATTCCACAAGCGAGAAGTGCGAGTGAAGAAATGGTTAGCAAAGAACTTGCGGTAGCGTGTCTTGTGGCGAATTCGAATGAAAAATACATTCAACGTTTGATTCGGTCAATACGCCATTTCGATTTGCCATTTCCATTTTCAGAAAATTCAAAACGAAATACAACAACGGAAAAATGTCACTTGACAAAACATTCACTGTGATCGTCTTGGGAGCTTCTTCCCGAAGACCCCCCCTCCCTCTCCACACACCTTCACCCCGAATCAATGTTACTGCCTCCATCGTGGGGCTGCAAATGCTAGACAAGCATGACCATTCGTTTTTCAGTAAAGCTCAACTCCCCCACACGTGGCCATCGTGGCCACACGTGTCTGAGCGAGAATTTTCACATGTCATCCCACGTGGCCTTTTAGCTGTCCTGATTTAAATAACCTAGAGGGAGGGAGGAAGGGGGAGGGGGAGAGAGAGAGAGAGAGAGAGAGAGAGAGAGAGAGAGATATCAAGCATGGAAGCAAGCAACCTGGACCCACAAACTAACAGTGACTCGTTGAAAGACGCCATTGAAGATGTGATATCCAACGTGAATAAGAAATACGTGATCCAGGAAGGTAATCATTTCTCAGGCCACTATTTACATTATTCGGACTATTGTCCTCATATTTTTCGCCATATTTATTACAAAGTTTCTTCCGTTGTGCGCTCCAGCCTTCTTCAGGTGGTTGGAATGTTGAATTGAACCCTTTAATTTCGCTCACTGGGGTAGACTGTTCTAGTTCCAAGTTAATTAAACATGGCTCGTCTACTCCAATTAGCGAAATAAAGGGTTCAGTTCGACATTCCAACCACCTGAAGAAGGCCGGAGCGTATAACGGCCGATTTGTTGTAATATATATGGCGACAAAGATGAGAACAATAGTCCGAGTAATGTAAATAGTGTACATAATACCTCATCTGAGAAATATAGACAGATTTCTCAGGCCACCCGGGAGGTTGAAGGACTGTTTTAGTGAAATACTTTTCTTTCTAACATGAGCATATATATATATATATATATATATATATATATATATATATATATATATATATTTGTGTATGTGTGTGTGTGCTCATGTTAGTAAGATATCCTTTCAAGATCACGAATATTTCGAACGTTCTGAAAAGGATCAAAAAATTCAAAATATACTTTGGTCTTTCCTATTAATAGTAACATAAAGATTTTAACGCTAAAAACTTTAGTTTTATAAAGTTTGATATATATGTATGTATATGTATATGTATATATATATATATATATATATGTGTGTATATTTCTCATGTTCTTCAATAATAACATCCAAACCTCAAAAAATTTCAATTGAAAATAAGTAGATAAAACTTCTCTAAATTATTCAATGAAACATGTCTCATATATATGTTTAAATATTAAAAAAAGTGGCGACGACAGCCTGTTTCCTGCTTAAACGCTGTTGTCGGGACATATATATATTTATACATTCTTTTTATAGATACGAATATTTAAGTAAATGCTCTGTTTATAATAAACAACATTTACCGGCCTGAATGTCCGAGAAATTTTCACAGAAAATATTCGTCCTCCGACAGGATTCGAACCTGCATCCTATACGGAACCGTCATTTAGCTTGACGTGCCTTTAACCGGTTTGGCCATAGAGGAGGGTTCGGTTGGTAAGGTCGAATTTACTGTATTTGAACTTCAATCTTCTATGAATCTCTCACGTGCATTCATATCTGCTCATAGCGTATCAAATGTAAACAAATGACGTCACACATTATGAAAATGAAAAAGTCCGACAATTATTTTTAAACATCTTTATGTTTATACATTCTTTTTATAGATACAAATATTTAAGTAAATGCTCTGTTTATAATAAATGATATTATGGCGACAAAGATAAAGACAATAGTCCGAATAATGTAAAGAAATATTAATGAAAGAACAAACAAAACACCCCACACTGTTGTCTTTACTGGACCTTCTGTTTGTGTGTGTGTGTGAGTGTGTGTGTGTGTTTAGGTACCTCCAAAAAAAGGCGATACTTAAAGTTTAAAATGAATAATCTTTTTTGAAAGTTTTAATTTCAAACTAAATAATTAAATGTAATATTTGCAATATTATTTGCATTATTCGGACTATTGTCCTCAAATGTGTTTCGGCCGTTGTAAGCTCCGGCCTTCTTCAGGTGGTTGGAATGTCGAACTTAACCCTTTATTTCGCTCACTGGGGTAGACTGTTCCACGTGCCATGTTACAGCTTTCCGGTATTCAGCTGCAAAAGTAATATGAAGGGGAGACAGCCCCCCCCCCATTTAAGGTAAGGCTTCAAGAACACCAGAAAGCTGTAACACGAGGGGAAGTGGAAAATCAGGTGTGGCTGACCACATATGGAAAGGGAAAGGAGATCACCGCCATTTGTAGGATCAGGTTGGGATCATAGACAAAGAACACCATTGGAAAATTCGTAAACTTAAGGAATCAGCACATATGCTAGGCCACAAAAATCTCCTGAGCCGACCAAGCATAGAAATGAATACAATATGGGAACCAGCAATAAGGAGTATCAGAGAAAAGTGATAATAGCAACAAAAATTGCAATATGAGCTCTGGTAAAAACATGCAATGATAACAGCAAAAATTGCAAAATGAGCACTGGTAAAAAAGATGTACTCAAGGACACATGTGGATAAAGGCGTTGGTTAGATCCAGTGACAAGGACCACAAAGAGTATGAGTTCAATACCCGGTCAAGGCTGTGGAGAACTTTCAAAGGGAAATTAACAGGAGATAACTAATAAGTGACATCCAGTAAACATAGCACGTGGAACTAGAACAGTCTACACCAGTGAGCGAAATAAAGGGTTAAGTTCGACATTCCAACAACCTGAAGCAGGCGGCAGTGTACAACGGCCGAAACGTTGTAATAAATATGGTGACAAATATGAGGACAACAGTCCGAATAATGCAAATAATATTGCAAATATTACATTTAATTATTTAGTTTGAAATTAAAACTTTCAAGAAAGATTATTCATTTTAAACTTTAGGTATCACCTTTTTTTGGAGGTGCCTACACACACACACACACACACACACACACACACAAACAGAAGGTTCAGTAAAGGCAACAGGGTGGGGTGTTTTGTTTGTTCTTTCGTTAATATTTCTTTAGTAGGTATAAACGTGTGTATACATGGACATCTTGTCCAAATGTTTGTAATCAACAGATTTCAACCGTACTTTCGGCCATTATCAAGATCCGAAAGCATTCTGGACGTGTTAGGTTCCCGTATATTTAAATATTCTAAAACTCGACGTCAAAAAGGACGGATTTGTATTTCAAGTCTTGTTCGCACAAAGATAATACTTTGGTCTGAAATTTGCGGAAACCCAATGCCGAAGCCCGAATACTATATCAACCAATACGAGAATACAGGAGAAAATGATTAAAATAATGGAGGAAATGATAAAAAAAAATTGCCTCAAAGGATTTCAGACAACTTAGTGAATTACGCCGTTTATTTAAAGCAATCGTTGTAGTCTTATTTTCCATTTTTTTATTTCTTTGTTCCGTCTTCTGATATTTTTTTTAAAAGACTCTCTCTTATTTCCTTCAAATTCTCCATTCCCTTCTCTCTCCCCACTCATCATCTATATTTTCTTCCTATTCCAAGAACCGCCTTTTACTGCAATCATCCCAAATCTCCCGCCAATTCTCTATTCGTTTCCGTCTTCGCCCTGTGATTCATGGCAGACATCTTCGGACATTAGCGTGGGAAATTACGGGCGCTTTTCAGAAAGTAATGCACGGCAGAGTGAGCGGCGATCGGGCGCTGGGAAAGAAAGTAGTGTTCGTAGCGAGCGGTCGGCTATTCCGGCCCCACCCTACGTCTCGAGCAACCCTTCCTATTACAACCCTTCCCATCACCAGCCGAACCACAAGGGACCCGGGCTTATCACCGTTCCACTCTTTGCTACCGATCGGTGATTATCCACAACACGCAATATGGCATTCTGGGATCTGGGCAGCCGGTCGGACAGTTATGAAAAGAGAGACGACTGAGCCATCAGTATCCGTGCTCGCTTCCCGTGCGCATGTGCAGACTCTGCGACGGACGCGCCCGAACAAGCAGGCATGCGCAAACTACTACACTCATACACGCACATAGAGAGAGAGAGAGAGAGAGAGAGAGAGGGGGAGGGAGGGGAAGGGGAAGAGAGCGAAAAGAGAGAGATAGAGAAAAAAGAGAAAGAAGAAAGAGAGAGAGAGTACTTGCTAATATTACGAAAGTGTGTGAATTGGCAAGCTGCATGTGCAGATAGATATGCACAAACTGAGATAGATACATAGACACATAGATATGAACAGATTGGGATAGACTGATAAATATGGGAGACTGATAGATAGATAGATAGATAGATAGATAGGATAAATTGAGAAATATATACCAACTAGTATGCACACACACACACACCCACACCCACATATATATACACACACACACACACACACACATATATATATATATATATATATGAGATAACAATATATATTTTTTTATATATCAGGAGCAACATTGGGCAGAATAAGGGACAAAATGAAAAAAAAAATTGACAACTTTTTTTTGGACTAAAAGGACGAAACACGTCATAAGAAAACTTTCCAATTTGACATACATTTTCCCCAATATATATATATATATATATATATATATATATATATATATATATATATATATTTTATAAAACGTAGTTTAAGGTAGCGTATATTTATGGGTAAAAGTGCTCATTATTTGGGAGCAAACAGATCAACAGTTTATGATGACTGGCAGTTTCAACTCTAAACTTGTTGCCCGATGTGTGTGACAAGGTGTGACATTATCTGATGATCGCTTAAGATGCAAAAACTGGCAATCATTATACAGTGTTGATTTTATGCCCATATTGATTCTTTTTATATATATATATATATATATATATATATATATATATATATATATATATGTGTGTGTGTGTGTGTGTGTGTGTGTGTGTGTGTGTGAACAGACTGACGCACACACAGACATTTTTCACACACACACACTGACACACACAAACATATATATGCGACGATGGCCTAGAGGTATACGTGAATGATGTCAAATCAATCGGGTCCTGGCTTCAAGCAATCGGACGTCTAGCCTCACTGAGAAGCTGTGATACAGCGAAACAGTCTATTTATGGATGATTATTATATATATATATATATATATATATATATATATATGTGTGTGTGTGTGTGCGTGTGTGCGCGTGTGTATTTCAATCTGTTCATTATCTATCTGATGATCATATCGTACATCTGCCGATATTAATTTCAGTCAACTTTGATGTTAGGACTGTGGATGGCAAAAGGTGATTCTTTTTTTATTTTGGACCCCATGCGTATTTAGGGAAGGGAATGAATATTTACCAGTTCCTTAGGGAAACTCCTGTTCTTATTAATCTCTAGTCCTGAATAAGTATTGCAACATTTAAATGCATCTCTTGTCCCCATAACACTTGTTAAGCTTACCAAACGGTTCATCTAACCTGGCCGTGGGTTGGGGGAGAAAAATGGCTGTCGAACAAATGAATTGGAATCTCACTCACACGGCTGTTTGTGTGTGTTTCTGTAATTCTTTATGTGAGCGTGTGGTATAACAGTAATTCATAAACTTTACTTCTTTTTGTTCACTTTAATTTGCTTTTGAATATTGCAGTTTCGATGTAAAAGTAACATTTTATCTGCAATTCTTGAGAAATCTTCTTGTATCATATTTTAAAAATGTTCTGTTGTGTTTCTTTTGAAGGATCATTTCATTGAGAACTGAAGCTCATGATTGTTATGCAGTATCTGCAAAAACAGTCTTAAAAAAAGACACTTTGCGAAAATGATAAAAGCGAAATATCAAATCCCATATTATAAACGAAAAGAACTTTTTTTTTTCTAGTCAAAACAAGATATTGTTGATTTTGCTCGATGAAATCCTCATATTACAAAGGCAACGCAGCAAACGATTTTTAAACGGGGTCGAAAAATTTTCTCTCATTTTCTGAATATCATTTATCAATCTTTTTGCCAGTCTCGAATATTAAAGATATTGGAAAATCTACTGAAAAATTTGTCAAATTAAAACGTTTATAATAGAATACACAATTTAGCTTCAAGATAGGATAGGGTGATATAAATGTGGGGAAATGTTTTGGATGGTTCAATAATGATTCTACGAATTCATAAAAAGAAACTATTGTTAATACGCTGCTGTCAACTTTTACGTTTACATCACACATAGTAACTTGTGCTTCCTGTTCATTGCGGAAAAGTGTTGCATGTTTTAATAATATTAATCTGAAATAGCTATTTGTTTAATTTGGCGGAGAACATTTGTAATATGCACATATTAAGGGACGCGAAAATATATTTACCTAAACTTAATTTAATGGACGAAAAATTTAGGGTTGGGGAGAGCAACTTGCTTATTTAAATTTGGCGCCCTAAAGCGATGGTTGCTCCAAGGATGGTAGGGATGGACTTATTTGAGAGGGTGGGGCTTAAAGTTTGGTTCTTAACGTGCGTTATTTATTTTTTGTTTATTTTTCAGGAACCCCAGTGAGTATCATGGAGTGGACGATGTTGGAACGCGCTTTCGCTGTTGAGGCATTTTTTTTTCAAGCGGTCGCTCAATCGTCGCAACGCAACGTGCATTCCGTAGACATTTCAATATTGCCCCCGTGGTCGTGTTCCTGGCCGGCAGTCGATTGTTTCATGGGTAAACAACTTCAGGGAAACGGGTGATGTAAAGAAAAAGAAACCTGGCTTCCCACGAACAGCAAGGTCACCCCAAAACATTGACTCAGTGTATAGAGAAGAATGGACGCCATCTTACTGATATCATCTTTAAAACTGGTAAAAAATAAAATTTAAATGTTGAACTAGTTGCAGTTCAAAGAATTACATGTATACTTGCATTACTTGTGTTTTAATTGATATTCCAAATAAGCAAGTTTCTCTGCCCGCCCTGTATTTTATTTGTATCAATTTAGTACGCCATGAACAACACTCACAATACTCCTTCCAATTTTAGAAGCATTACATTGTACACTGAAACTAATTTCCTTATCTTATTATCACAATGTTTCGGCTGTTGATCTGTATGACCTTCTTCAGATGTTTGTCGATCTGGGTATCCTTTAGGGAATTTCAACTTGAACCATTTATTTAATCTACGGGGGTAGAGATTGTTTTACTCCCGCCGTCCCTGTATAAAAATATGGCCTCTTGTTCCCTTTTCTTTTACTTCTTAGTTCTTGCTCGTGCTGTTTCCACAGAGTCGGTGTTTATACTAGCCAAACCAGGAATTGAACTCACAACTATATATTCGTAGACTAAAATCAAATGCTTCCAAAACCCAGCGTTGAAAGAAAAATGAGTTCCCAATAATCACTCATCCACGCACTTACAATAATCCACTATTTTTTAATAATTTTATTGCTTGCCGTATTAACCAAAAATAATAATCCATCTTTAAGTTGTCTTCTAAATCGTATTTGTTGACTGCTTTCATTAAAACCCACTAGCTATAAATTCATCACTAAAGATTTTAGCTGAGAAATCAGTTTTTATCTACTTAGATTAATTTGCATGTTTATTTTGTTGTTTAATCAAAGGTGGTAATTCCGTTGTGTTCATGTCTTTAGTGAATCTTCCCAAAAATCTTTATTCCTTGTTTCCATTCACGACTTCACCAACTTTTTAAAATATTTTATGGATGGTTATTTCACTTTGCTTGCTTATTAAACTTTTAATTTTTCTCGAAACTCTTTTTGTAACAAATCAAAACCAATGTGCTAAAAGTTTTCTTAACTTATCGATGTTTTCAATTTAATTACTGTTCAACCTTTTCACAATTTCCAACGTTATATTTCATTCAGTCAATACCTTATTTTATTTTGGAGGTTTTTATATTTTTTATGCCCTTTCGAAAACTTTACATATGAAATTAAAAAAATAAGTATCAGTATTTTTACGATAATAGATATTTATTTACAATATGATGACCAACGCTTGAACTCTATAATAAACTCTTTGATCAACGAACAAATTATTGTAAATATTTCTAATAAAAGCAGGCATCACAAACTGAATCCACATGTCATATTAATCATATAAAAATCGGTTCAGGATGCGATGGGTAAATTGTCGACATTTTATATTTTTCTTATCGAGCATGCGCGTTGCTCGTTTTTGATGTTGTCAGCGACACATTATAGTAGAGTGAGTTGAGCACACCGTCTGTGAGAAGAAGAACACAAATGACGCAATTCACTCCGTCAGAAATTTGGAAACGGCTTGGAAATGCTTGGCATTCGCGCCGGAAGCTACAATACGAACATTTCAAAGTGGTTTTGGTGTCAATCTGAGAGCAATACAGAGGATTCGGAAAGAGGTGAATGAGTCTAATGGTAATTATGAAAGTGTTTGGAGTGATCACGAGGGATGGCGACGTTATACCTCCATTCATCTTCCTACGTGACCTCAGACTCAACCCAAAGGCATACATCAAGCGCCTTAAGGAGGCAGGGTTTGTTCTGTGTCAAGAGGCTGACTGCTAGAAGATCTTATGTCTGGCAACAGGAATCTGCACCATGCACACAAACAGGAGAACATCAACTATTACATCTGGATATCTAACTCCCCAGACTGCAAACCCCTTGATCATGTGTGGGGTGCAGTTGAGCGACAGACCAACAAAACTCCTTGTAATACCAAAGATGAACTGAAAGCAAGGATTATGGCTGCATATACCAACTTAAACTAGGAGACGGTCCAAAAGAGTTGCAGGAGATTCCGAAGTCGTCTTGAGGCCGTGATTGAAGCCAATGAGGATTTTATTGAATAAATTTACTTTTTAGTATTTCAAGATATTTTGTGTAAATTTGGTAAATATATCTGTTGAAATACGATGT